AAGCTCGCTGCGGTCGTCACTCACATCGGCGCTGGTCCCAACTTTGGACATTATGTGGCCTACTGTCGACACCACGGAGGCTGGACAAGGTGCAACGACCGCACCGTGCAGGAGATGTCCTGGCGCGACATCAACAACTTCCGCACCCTGCCAGGAGAGAAGACGTACCTGCTGTTCTACACGAAGATCCTTCCAGAAGGCGCCATCGTCATCGACTCCCCGGAGACAATCCCAAGGCCGGCCGCGGCGGCGCCCATCGACCTGGATCCCAGCGACAGCGACTCCGACGTGCTGATGCAAAAGGATGACCCGGAGCCAAAAACGCTGTCACAAGAACTTTCCGACATGCTTGATGCGCTCCCGTCCGAGAGCAACGCCGGCGACCGGTGCAAGCCGGCAGCATACCAGTACAAGCGGGTAGCCCGGCAGGATGCCAGGCCTGCCAAACGTTGTCGAGGGATCTTCAACTACACCAAGGAGGAGCGCAGTCTTATCGAAGACACCTTGCGCAAGAGTGCGTCGCTCAAGGACGCCATGAAGGCTCTCGGCGAAGCCATGCCCAAGTTCACCGCGAAGAACGCGGAGTCGTCATCTTACCTGAACCGAACAACTCTGCGCAGGTGGTTCAACGACCACGAGCGTCTCGCCAAGGCTGTCGCCTTGCCGGACAAGATCGCCGCCGAGACCACTTCATTGCTTCCCGGCCCCAGCAACAAGGACCTCGCCGAGACCTCTGCTCCGCCGGAAATCGTCACGGACAGCAGCTCGGCGAGACGCCCTCCCCGCAAAAGCTGCCGAAGCACTCTTTCCGAAGACGATGCGGCCATCGTTGCCACAGCGCTCGCAGAGGTGAATAATGCAGAAGATCTTGCCAAACTCCTTGCCGTCAGATTGCCAGGCTTCAGCTACGAAGACAGAAATGCTGTTAATTACATTCCGAGAAGCACTCTCTACAACTGGTGTCAGCGTCAGCAGGTCAAGGAATGGTTCGGCCGGGGAGGCGCCCAGCTTCCCGCGACTTGGCAGGACGAGCATGTTCGCTACTTCGCCGTCGTCGCCAATATGCCGACGCAGCGGGCCAAGATGGAACCCGACAGCAGCGACATCGATGTCATGTGGTTCACCGGTGGATCCTGGACCTTCTGTCCGCACTGCGGTCGACACCAAGCTCGAACCTTCACAGCCGAGTGGTCCATCACAGATTACAAGGCGGACCGACCTTGCAAGCCGTGCTGCGACCCGGACGCTCTCGAGCTGCTGCGCTCGCCACAAGGGAAGCTGCCGTTTGGCAAATTGATGGGCTACGTGACGCCATTGGCGCACAATTGGCTGCCCTGGCTTCGCCACCTGCAAGGCGTCCGCTTGCCTCTTACGACCCTGCTTTCCGAAAAGGAAATCCGCGACTTGGCCATCGCGGACATCAAAGTCGACTTCGTCACGAAGCGCGGCGGGAACGCGGAGGTTGTCAGCAAGCAGAAGAAGACGGTGGTGCGTTGCGTTTGGCGACCGCAATCGCTGCTGGATCTCCGTCGCAGTCCACTGGCCCAAAGAGCTTTCGAGTGGCTCATGGACAACAACACCACCTACAGAAGATACGTAGAGACGCACCACGCCCTGCTTGCGGCCGGAGAACCACGAGAGTTTCCGACGGCATCCCTGCTCTTGCAGACGCCCGGAATCGAAATCGCCGTGCGACCGTGGCTCTATCCGCTGGCCAGCTTTGCGGACAGCGACCTGCAGCTGCGACTCCGACCACTTGGCTGGACGTCCGAAAACGCAAAGCCAAGTGTCAGAGCCGGATTCCTTCGCAAGATCCTCAGTCGATGCACGGAGTACAGCCGAGATTATCCTTTGAAGGCCTTATACTACGACCTGTGCATGGCGCATACTATTTCGGCGGTCGTCAACATCGGCATCAAGCAGAAGGTCGCTCCGGAAATCATTGCGAGCGACATGGATATCTTCGAAGGCTACTGGCATCAACAAATCAGGAAGATGGAGGACATTTGCAGGCTCGAGCACGAGCGCACGGGACGACTGGACAGAGCCTTACCGAACGTGTTCTTCACCATCGCGCCCGCAGAGTGGAAGTACCTGCTGCCCCACGGACTGTTTTTTGCAGACTCTCTCAGCCACCAGCAGGACCTCCTGACGCTCCACCTCTACCACAGCATCAACAACATGCTGGAAGCACATCTCCTCAGAGACGGACCGAGCTTGAAGCTGGTCGGAGTGGAGAGCGTCCGTCAATGGAGCCTCCGCTTCGAGTTTCAATCCCGCGGCACCTTGCACGTGCACGTGGTCTTGTGGGCGAATCTGGCGGAAGGCTGGACGTCCGATGATCTCAATGGCCGCACCGACACCAAGAAAACCAGTGCATTCCTTCAGCTGTTGGAGCGCCTCTTCCGATGTCGAGCAGACGTGCAATGCGGCGACGGCTCGCACGTTCTTTTGCGGTATGTGGCAGGGTACATCAGCAAGGCTTCGGATGCGCTCCAGTTCAAAAGCCACCAGGCGGTGGCCCATCAAGACTTCAGCCAA